TGTGCCCCGACTCTTTTTCATCTTTGTATTTCTGATTAATTTCCATTAGCCTGTAATCATGGCTACCAATTCCCTCCTCTGTTGTACCCAGTCTCATTCTATGTCCCTCAAAAAGATTCTTCATTTCTGATATCCTGTTTTTCATTTCTAATATTTAAATTTTTAAAAAAAATTCTTTAAAAAAAATCAGTGTTAAAAATTCAGAGTTAACTAATTTTTTTCCTTTTCCATTATTCTTTTTTTTATTTATACATGACAGCAGAATGCATTACAATTCTTATTACACATATAGAGCACAATTTTTCATATCTCTGTTGTATACTAAATTTTTTAAAAATTCTTAAAATTTAAAAATTTAATTTAAAAATTATATCATTTCCATTTCTCTGCTGAAATTTCCCATCTTTTCAAACTTTTATCATAGTTATTTTTAGATTTATACCTGATGAATCCAACATCTGGACCATGTTTTCTGGTTCTGTTTCAGGTCTGTTTTCTAAAGAAATAAACTTACTGTTTATTTCTTTACAGTGGATCACATCATCTTTTCATGTGTCCAGTAATTTTTAGTTGAAGTAATAACTCATATGTGAAAGAATGGCAGTGGCAGAAGTAAAAACACTGGAGACTGATGTAAATGATTTTTACTCTAGTCCAGAAAATAGTATGCCTTTCTGATCAAGCTCATTAGTGTGTGTGTGTGTGTGTGTGTGTGCATGCATGCACACACTGAGCCAATCTAGTGTCTCTACTGGGCCAGGGCTGTGTCATTCCTCTAGTTGGATTCAAGTGGCCACAAATTTCAAGTTAAGATTTGAAGGTGGGATCATAACCTTCCCACTACGTGTGGTCTAGATTTTGAGTGCTGAGATTTGTCTCTGTTTTCCTGTCCTGGTCTCAGACATCAGCAGGCCCCTTGTGTGATGCTGACATGCAGTGGAAGGTTCTCTGCTCCCCTGCCTCTCCTACCTTGCCAGGCCTCTCCATGGTACTCTGGGTGAGGTTTGGAGTGCTGGCAGGAATTATATTTGAAATATATATTAATGCTTCAAACCATTTCACGTATTCAACAAAGGATAATCATTATTATTATTATTATTATTTTAGAGAGAGAGAGAAAGAGAATTTTTAATATTTATTTATTTATTTTCGTTCTCGGTGGATACAACATCTTTGTTTGTATGTGGTGCTGAGGATTGAATCCGGGCCGCACGCATGCCAGGCAAGCGTGCTGCCACTTGAGCCACATCCCCAGCCCAGATAATCATTATTTTTTAAAACTGTATTTTGAAATAATTTTAGACCTACAGAAAAGTTGCAAAAAAAAGTACCAAAAAAATCTCATCTACTCCTCACCACACTTCCTGCATGATAAGATTTTTACCTTGTTTGCTTCTGTTTCTTACTATTGTATACATCCAAATCTTCATCTGTCTACATGAACTCTCCCCTGAATCATTTCAAAGTGAATTCCAGATATAAAGCCTTTTACTTTTGAATGCTTCAACTGCTTTACTTAAAACAAGTATCCCATGAGCATTAAAATCAGGAAATTAGCATCAAAACAGTAATTATCTAATCTGCAGACTTTTTAAGATTTGATCAATATCCCCTGCTAAGATTTCTATCCAGGATAAAAACTTCATTTAGTTATATCTGTTTAGTCTTTTCCGATCTAGAGCGGTCCTCCAGCCTTTTTTCAACCTTCCATAACCTCAGTGTGTTTGAAGAGTGCAAGTCATTTATTTTGTAGAGTGTCCCTCAACTTGACTTCTCTGATGTTTCTCCATGATGGTGTCCAGGTCGTGTTGGGCAGGGATACCACACCTATAGGATGCATCAAATCAGAAGGCACATGATGTCTTCATGTCCCTCTCCTGGCAGTGTCCACTTCATCAACCTGAGTAAGGTGGTCTCTGCCAAGATTCTCCTCTGTAAACTTTCTATTTTTCCCTTTGTTATCAGTATTTGTCTTGTGGGGAAATAACTCTGAGGCTATCTAAATGTTCTAATTCTCATCAAACTTTGACCTGCTATGTTAGAATTTACTGATGATTTTGCCTGAAACAATTATTACTGTCAGGGTATGCTTTTTAGATTTCTGGGGCTGCCTTAGCAAAATACCTTAAACTGGATAGTATTTCAATATTCTTGGGGCTGGAAGTCTGAAATGGAGGTATCAACAGGGTGAGTTCATCTGAAGGCTTGGGGGGACCCATTCCCAGCCTCTCCCTGGTGCTGTAGTCCGGCTAGGCTGCCCAAGTCCGGCTAGGCAAAATAACCGAGAGGTGACAAGCAACTTGAAGGTTGAAGCAGGAACTACTTTATTGCCAGTGAACTCAGCAGGAACTGAGAACTCAAAGTAGCAGGCACCCAGGGTAGCAGGAGCCACCTCTCTGCCAGACTGCAGAGGTACATATACCCAACTAATTACACACAGCTTAACTTAATTGACATCATCTTGACACAGCAGTCAGTCATTAAGGAATCCTCATCATCTTAATGGCTTGCTGGTGTTACTTCACAAACCACTCCTTTTGGCATACTGCCAGGCACCATCTTAACTTGGTTTTGGCCCTCATCACCCTGGTTTCTGGGGACTTACTGGCTGTCTGGCATTGCTTGGCCTGCAGATGCATCCCTAGGATCCTCTGCCTGTACCCGGTGCTCTTCCTCTGTCTTTCTCAATATTTTCCCTCTGTGTGTCTGTCTCTGTGTCCAAATTTCCCCTTTTTATTGGATCAGGGCCCACTCTGATGACTTCATTTTAACTGATTACATCTGAGAAGTCCCTATTTCCAAGTAAGCTCATATTTTGATGGCCTGGAGGTTTAGGACTTCAACACATTTTTTTGGAAGATACAAGTGAACCCAAAACAGATGCCATGTTGTGATCCATGGCAGTTTTTAAAGGTTCTCTCAATAAAATTAATAGTTAAGAAATAAAATATTAAGATCTCTGAAGCTGAAAAGTGGCACAGCTATGAGCCAGCTGGGATCTCATGGCCTACCTGCCTGGGAATGCTGTGGTCTACAGGTGTGACATTAATGGCTCCTTGTGGCGAACCAATGTCCATATCCCCCACAAGTCCCAATGTCGTATTTTGTATACAGGCTGGTTGTCGGCTGCCTTTTTAAAGAGTACATGATTCTCCCCGTGGTATCTGCAGAGATGCCAGTTGAGCAAGGATACTGAGCGCCAGCCAGCACCAAGTCCAGGGTTGCTTTGGATCCCCTACAACAAGGCAGCAACAGCCAGCCCAGGTGTGGTGTATAGGGGCCACAAAGCCCTGTCCTGCCAAAGGCAGCCTTTCCATGTATTCAGTGTCTTGTGTGACATACCATGTCCTTATGAGGTAGCTAATGGGTTGTCCCCTGCTTGTGGACTGACATGCCTCAGTAATGAAGGTCTCAGAAGGCACAGCGAGATGCTCAGATCCAAAGCACTTGAAAGGTAAATTTTATGGCAGCACAAGATGGTAATAAATATCCGGTCTGCCCTGGTAAGAAAAATGGGAAGAGTAGTGGCTATTAGGTGGCTCTTCCATTGGGACTGTCCACGTGAGCCTCAGAATTAATGCTCTAACTCTGTAGGCAAAGGGGGCATTGCTGAAGTGAGCAGTTTTCATACCAGCCAGGGAGCAGTGCAGGTCATCATTTGCCTGTGGTAACCTAGGCAGTGAAAGGTGGGCAGAGCCAGCTCAGGCCCCGCATCCCTCGCAAGAGCACAGGTCCACTGGGAGCATCAACTGCACACTACGTACCTCTGAGGTGGCATCACCAGAGGCCATGGAGGGAGGTTTGGTGATGTCTGCCTTATCCCCACAGTCTGCCCTAGGAGCCACATCTCTCCATTGCCCTGCAGAGGCTCAGGCTGACTCCCTCTCATTGCCAGCAGGCCGCAGTGGGCTTCCTGGGGCTACCCTAGTAACGTGCCACAAACTGGGTGGTTTAACTGAAATTTGTTGATTCACAGTTCTGGAGGCCTGATGTTTGAAGGTAGCAGCAGGACTGTGCTCCTCCTGCAGGTGCTGGGGAGGGTCTGCCCCAGGGCCCTCTCTTAGCCACCTTAGTTCCTTGAAAGTGGCCACAGAACTCTAGCCTTCCGTTTCTCCCTGTGCACATGTCTGTTTCAAATGCCCCTTTTCAGAAGGAGAGCTGGCCTATTGTATATACCCTACTTCAGAATCCTCTCCTCCTAACTAATTACATCTGCAACAACCTTATTTCCAAATACGGTTATATTTTGAGGTTCTGGGGGTTAGGACTTCTGACCTACTTTTTTTTTCCCTTTAGGGCACAATCCTGCTGTAGGCATTGGTTGGCAGTGCCCCGCTCCCCCGGTCCTTTGACATCCCAAGGGTAATGAATGGCTGCACAATAATTTATTAACTGAGGTCTACTTGGCAAACGAGTCCCTCTTTCTCCTGGGCCAGCACTTCCCATTGAGCAATGAGGCAGCCTGCCTTCCAAAATAGGCAGACGCTATGCCGATCCATTAGCCTGCCTGTCAAGTTAAAAGGAATGTGCTCCGCATTCATCTCCAACATACATTTGTATGTAAATTACACATGTGTTGGTTGTAATTTGTATACAAAAATGGATGGTGACATGTTACAGGAGAAATAAGCAGTATTTTAAATGTGTTGCTAAGCACTGTGACTTCATACTCTCATTAGCTAAGATCACAATGTCCAAATACCCTTGAGGTGAAGTTTCTCATTAATGATTCAGGATGTGAATCTGAATTTCTAACAACCTTCCAGTAATTCCGGGTTTTGTGGGGAAGGGTGCTCCTTGTCAGGTCTGATTAGATCCCTGGTATCTGTGCTGCTGTTGATGAGAGGAGGTGTGAGCTCATTCCTCTCATACTGTTCGCTGTGCTGTATACAGATCAACTTCAGCATCCAGCATCCAGAGTGTCTTTTTGCAAGATTTTTCCTTTCTTTCTTTTTTTTTTTTCTTTTTTTTTCTTGCGGTGGGGACCATGGAATGAACCCAAGGGTGCTTAACCACTGAGCAACATCCCCAGTTCTTTTGTATATTTTATTTAGAGACAGGGGTCACTAAGTGGCTTAGGTCCTCACTAAGTTGCTGAGGCTGGCTTGGAACTCGCAATCCTCCTGCCTCAGCCTCTGAAGCTGCTGGGATCACCAGCGTGTGCCACCACACCTGGCTTTCATGAATTTTCTTAATCCACTTGTCCATTTTGTAAAAGTTAGTTTAAATTCATTCATAATGTAACATTTGGGCATAATTCTTGTACTTGGGATACATTGAAGATAGAATCAGAGAATTCAATCACTCTATCCCTCAGACACGGTCCTGTGTGAGTTTCAAGACACTGAGAGTAAGTGTTGGGACACAGAGCCTGAGGGTGGTGACCCCAGATCTTCCTCAGGAGCCCTTAGGACCATGGGGCCAGCTGAGGGACAGTTTGCCTGTGGACAATTTTTACAGTGCACATAGTAAACAGTGACAAAACACAATTTGTTTTGTTTCTTTGGATTAAAAAATGTGAACAGAACAGATTTTCATGTTAATCTCAATTTCCCATTTATATCATAGCCTTCTTAAGCAGAAGGAATTGCCTTAGCCATTGCTTACCTCCTGGTGATCCCAATACAGTTTCATTGTTGTGCATGGTAGAAATTAAACATTTCATTCCAAAACCTGCAGGCACGTGTGTTTTAACACAATCAACAGGAGTGTGATATGTGTGTTTTAAAAAGCTTCGCCCAGCATCACCTGTGAGTGCAGATCAGGATGTGCGGGATGCAGACACTTATTTGTCCTCTAACATGTCACCATGTACTAGAAGTCATGGCTTCTGTGCTGTCAGGATCTCCATCTCTGATTCCTCCTCTCACTGGATGGGCAACAGAGGAAGGCCCAGGTCTGGCAGGTTCCAGTGCTCTGCAGCCATGGAGCATAAGGGCGCCCATATGTCCCAGGATCTGGGCTGGACTCCTCGTGTCTGGGGGAAGGAAAGCCCAGCAGGCCAGCTTCTTTCCCACCCTGGAGCTGGCGAGAGGCTTTGTGGCAGTGTTTGTACAACATCTGGTTGTGTGACAGGTGTGGAAACCAGGTGTGATTTACTAGCTTCTGAGCCTCCTCACACCAGGAGAGCCCTTCTTGTCAGATGGGAAGAGACAGATAGGAGATGCAGCCCGGGGCTTTCCCTCCCAGACCCTGCTCTGCACATCTGTGCTGGAGTTGGCCTCACCCAACAAGTGATGCTTCTGTGCTTCTGTTGTATGGTGGCTATCAGGAATGTTCTATATAAATGTGTGAGCCAGATTCAAATCAGCGGTCTAGCAACTGGATTTTATGGGATGAAATACATAAAAACTACATATAAACAAGAGTCCTCTATTGAGCTTATTACATCAAAATTACTTTGCTTGAAACTTAAGCATCTAAGCAAACCCCATTGATTTCAACTGTGTAGGAACACACAGCACTCTGAAAATGCTTGGCACATCAGTGACAATTAGCTTAGACTTTGATTCTTTGACAGTTATGTAACTTAATAGCATAATTACTTCTTACTTTCCAGCTGGTGAAAATGGGTGAATGGGGCAGTGTCAGTGTTGGAGAAGAAAATTCTTAGTCTTTTTAGCCAAGTTTTGCAGGCTCTCTGCTCTCTCTATGCAGTGTGTTTACTTGATTTTTGGTTGTGTACATCAGACTGGGCTACAGTCATGAATATAGAAATGATGTAGACTGAAGAAGGTAATGTGGAGGGCTGCAGGTGGATCTGTACACAGAGACTGCTCATAGACTCATCAGATTCAGAGCTGGACCCACCTGAGGGATCCCCAGACCTAGTGCTCTCAAATGGGACCCCCAAGGGGCAAAATCCAAGACTTTGCTGAAGATCCAGAAGGATTCAGACACCAAAAGCAAAACATGTGCCAGGTAAGTGTCTTATCAGCTTTCTTCATGGCTGCAACTAAAAGACCCAACCAGCACAATTGTGGAAGAGGAAGAGTTTCTTTGGGGGTTCACAGTTTCAGAGGTCTCAGTCCATAGACAGCAGATTCTATTCCTCGGGACTCAAGATGAGGCAGGACATCATGGCAACAGAATGGGACAGAGTAAAGCAGCTCAGATAATGATCAGTAAGCAGAGACACTCCATTCAACAGATAAAAAGTAAACCATACCTCTAGGGACCTGCCTTCTCCAGCCACACCTGCCTTCAGCTACCACTATGTCAATCCCTATCAGGAGATTAATCCACTGATTGGATTAAGGTTCTTATAATCCAATCATTTCTCCCCTAAACCTTGCATTGTCTCACACATATGCTTTTGGGGGACACCACATCTAAACCATAACAGTAAGGACCCACAGAGTTCTTTCATGCTAAAAGCAAACCCCCACCCACTTCTGAGTAGGTATCCTAATGCAAGGTCTCCTACATTCACAGATGCACTATGTGCATAGCCAAGAGCAGGGAGCAGCCCGATGTCCATTGACAGATGGGGTAAACAAAGGAAATCCTGCCACAGGCTGCGGCATGGGTGAGCCACGAAGATGTGGAGGTAATTGAGAGAAGCCAGTCACTAAGGGACAAATACTGTATAATTCCCCTTATGAGACATATACAGTGGCCACATCATAGATTAAGAAGTAGGGCAGTGGCTACCGAGGGCTGGGCAAGGGTGGGGAGTTAGCATTTCATATATCCAGAGTTCCAGATTCACAAGACATAGAAGTTTTGGTGCTCAGTTTCATAACCATGTCAATAGACCTGGTACTATGGAAGTGTACACTTTAAAAGTGTTTAAGATGATAAGTTTTATTATATATTTTTATTACTTTAAAATAATTTTAAATTATTTAAAAATAATTTTAAAAGACAACAAAGAAGCACTGGGCTGCTATTGTAAATGGCTCCTAAAAGAGCTAAAGAGCATTCATGTATGACCAACAATTCTACCTCTAGGTTTTACCCAAGAGAAATGAAAATAAGTGTTCAAAACAAATGTGTTCTTGAATGTTTATCATCTTACTATTGACAATAGCAAGAAAATGGAAACAAGCCACACATCCATCAACTGATGAATGGGTAAACAAACGGTCTATCCATGCAGTGGAATATTATTCAGCCATAAAAAGGAACAAAGTGCTGATTGCTGTCACAGCCTCAGATGGACCTTGAAAAACATTAGGCTAAGTAAGAGAAGGTAGACCCAACTGCTCACAGGTTAATTGATTCGACTTATGTTAAATGTCCAGAAGAAGCAAATCTATAAAAACAGAAAGCAGATCAGTAGTTGCCAGTTGCTGGTTATTGCCTGTGTATGGCTCCTTCTGAGAGCAGAGAAAGTGTCCAGGATCAGATAGTGATGACCAGTCACTATCTAATAGTGAATGCAAAATTTAAGATGGTTAAAATGGTGAATTCCATGTCCTATGAATGTTTCTTCCCCAAACAAAAGGCTTTATGTATAAAGAGTCTTTGGTCTAGCCCAAGTTTTTTAGCTGGGAAAGTGGAAGCTCACTTCTGGGGGACATGGCTTTCTGGGGGCCATGGCCACAGTCCCCAAGACACCAGGGCACTCCTGGGGGAGGTGGGAAGCAAGGCATCCTCGTGCAGCAAGAGCGGATGCTCAGGTAGTGTGGGCATGCCAGGTTCTGTGAAGAAGGCCCAGCATGGCATTGGCTGCAGCAGAGGTGGGGTCCCTGGGGCTCCTCCCAGAGTTCCTTCCCAGCTACAGGGGGCCCACCACAGCCAGTCCAGGCTCACACCCAGACAAGTGGGATCCAAAAGACAAAACAGGCATCTCTTGCATCTCTATTTGGGAGCAAGACAAGTTTTGTTGGAAGCTCCCTGGCAAAGCCATCGGCCATGATTGGGTCACGTGACTCCCTAAGTCCAACGAGGCTGACAGGCTTAGGCCCACGGTGTGCAGTGGAGAGCATGGGGGATAGTTAGACTTAAAGACCAGTTCCACAGGCCAGGCATCAGGCAGAGGCCAGGCCAGGAACGTCATGTGGACCTATGGGATGAGCAGGAGCTCCAGATAAGCAGACAATGAATGAAGTCCAGGGAAGGCAGCTGAGCCATGCATCATAGCCTAGAAAAAGAATGTGGTAACAGGGTTCCAGACCAGGGCTCAGGATCCTACCCTGTGTGGCTGGCAGCAGGAGGTCAGCATCCCAGCCCGGGCTCTGAGAAAAACTGGCTTCCAGCAAAAACTGGAGAAAGATTCCCTTCCCAGTGTCCCCAGTAGAGCCCTGAAGAAAGTCAAACCTGTCCCCAGAATGCACACACTTGAACTCAGAGGTCGACACAGCAGTGCCCAGGCACACAGAGTGGAAAACCGGGGCTTCTGAGGAAAGCCAAATCATTTTAAAGTTCAGTCCCTGCATGCACCATTGGCACAGAATAGAGATGCCTGGATGCGTTCCTATAATCCTCTGTCCCCCACTGTCCAGTAGACAGGCATGGGACAGAGAGGTCAGGTCACTAATTTCTCAGCAGCATCTGTTACCTATTTCCAAGGGTGCACACATCCACGTGGCCCACTCCGCGGTCCTTGACCATTCACTTGTCCCCTGGCCCCTGTACACACCTGCTATCCACTAGGCACTCGTCTACACAGTGGGGACATGTTTGTGGACAAAATAAAATCCATCCCTCTTTTCCCAGACCTTAAAGTCCAGTGGGGGTGATATGCATACAGATGATCAAATTTGTGCCATGGCAAGTGAAGTTATCGGTGCTGCAAAGAAACCAGAGCAGGCAGAGGGCACTGGGTGCTTCAACTCCTAAGAGAACTGCACGGGAAGACGGCCTGATGGAGTGCTCTTAACCACCATGATGACAGCCAAGGCCTGTGCAGAACGCATGTGGGAAGAGAGAAATGAAGACCGATGCTGAGCACATGTCCCAGATGTGGTGGGGCAGGAAGTGTCTGTGGGCCCAGGATCCAGCGGGAGTTCTCCGAGCCATGCTCTTGCTGCATGCCAGGATGACAGCGTGCTTCCACCCTGCTGTTGACTTGGACACCACAAAGATGAGTTTTGTGCTAACAGAAAGCCAGAATGCAATCTTATGGGTATGGCTTTAAGACTGATGGTAGGTCGGAGACTAAGGATTTTGCCAATAACACACAGTCACATCAGAGTTGTTTGGTGCTCTGGTCCGAGTATAGTTGGCTGCTGCCTCCCTGGTATTCTACAAAACAGATCCCCAAGTGGAAAACCACAGAGCACCAGAGAAAGAGCACCATCTTCAGTGTGCCAAGAATTTGTAAAAAAACCTGGACTCCCACCACTAAATAGATAACTTGGAATTTATTCATGCTGAGAATAAGAAGATTGTAAGTGACATCTGCTAGGTGTTCCTTTGTAGCAGTTCCTCCCAGAGCGATGATGAAGGCATTCAGGCAACTTCAGGTAGCCTGACTAACTGAGAAAAGTAATGGCCGCTCACTCATTGAGGGTCAGGACAGCAAGAAAGGAGAGGAAGGGGAGAGAAGGGAGAGGAAGAAATGCCAAAACGATGCAGCAGAAATCACACATTCTGAGGCTGGGGCCTATTTTGAAAGATGATGGTCCAGGATAAAGTTTATTTCACTTACAAGCACTAACTCATTCTTTTCATCTAGCATTCCCACCTATGGATTAGCAACAGCATGACCTCTGTAGGGAAGATTAACTTGCAGCTACACAGGGATTCAGCAGAAAGCAGACATGAGGGGATTGTTTTGACAGTTTTGAAATCTATATTCTTTGTGGGAAAAACACTGTTGAAATCCTGCTGTATTAAGCCTTTTTGCATTACTTTCTCTAATTACCTAGGGTTGGATAAATTTATCAAGAAAAAAGGCTTATTTTGTCTCGTGGTTCCAAAGATCCAAGGCCAAAGGGCCATATCCAGTGATATCCTTCTTGCAAGCAGAATTCCAAGGCTGTTCATGGTATCATATGGCAAGAACAAGGAGTGTACACATGTGTGTGCCTCTTCTGGTCTCTGCCCCTCTCTTTATAAAGCCACCAGGATTCAGTCATGGGGCCCCCACCCCACTGACCTTATCTATCCCTAATCACCCAGAGGCACCATGGTGTGTGATGAAGTCTCGACCCTCTAAAACCTCAAGGTGGCAACTAGAGTTCAACACGTGACCCCTTGGAGACACACGCCAACCATATCCAACCACAGCACCTGGAATATTAAGTAAGTTCTCTGCGTTGAGAGAAAAAATCAGTTAACATTAGTCACTAATAAGCGATTTAACTTATATGGGAAAAGTGATTCTCTCTGAACATATAAGCACACCTAGAATTTTTGTAGGTTGCTACACAGGCAGTCTGTGCTAGTCAGGAGGCAGCACATACATGGACCTTTTGAAAAAGGCAGAATCTTTGGTGCTGATGCTGGAGAGAGGACGGGGCTGCCTCCTTCCCTTCCCCTCTCATCTCTCTTTCTCTCTCTCCCCCTCCCTCCCTCCCTTTCTCTCTCTCCCCCTCCCTCTCTCTCCCTCCCTCCCTCCTCTCTTTCTCCTTCTCTCTCTCCCTTCCTCCCTGTCTTTCTCCTCTCTCCCTTTCTCTCTCCTTCCCTCTCTTTCTCTCTTTTTCTCCTTCCCCCTCCCTTCTTCTCTCTCTCCCTTCCTGCTTTTCTCCCTCCCCCTCCCTCCTTCCCTTTCTCCCTCTCTCCCTCCTTCCCCCTCTCTTTCTCCCCCTCTCTCTCCCTTCCTCCCTCTTTCTCTCTCTCCCTTCCTCCCTCTTTCTCTCTCTCCCTCCCTCCCCTTCACACTCTCTCATAAGGGTATCATGGGGGCATATTTCTCCCCAAGGATTCAGTGTCTGATAGGGGCCCCTGGCCCAAGTGCTGTGTGGGCCACAGTCAAACAGTTGCATTTTGGGACAAGATAGGTTTTCCTGGTTTGCCATGAATTGGAACATAGGAGTTTGGTGACTCTCCACACCTAGACTTACTGGCAGGCCAAGTTTCTAAAGAACACTCAGAATCGGTAAGATCATAAATCTGTATCACTGCTTTACATCCTTAACCCCAGGATCTGCGGCTCTGTACATCTATCTGTATCTCCTTTCCCTGAAGCTCTGAAGAGTAGGGCAGAAGACAGTGGTTGTGGGCCACCAGGGTCCCCCCTGTATCTTTCTTGCCTGTACCGGGTAAGTCTAAGTCTTCCCCCAGGGTTTTAAGTAGCTCCATACTTATCTTCTTAAAAGTAAGCATGATAATTAAAACCCAATACAGACTGTCCAAATGAATGAGAAGTTTATACAAATGAATAATAAATAAATCAAACTCCCAACAGATTAAAAAGAACACAGACAATTCACAAGAGTAAATATTTGTAAATAAATACTATTAGTGAATAAACAAAAAATAAATAAAACTTCACTCTCCCTGGCATCTAGAAAAAGAGCTTACCTCCTTGATGTTGTATCTTGTTCTTACTAATCATAGTCAGATCTGCTCTCAGTCTATAAGCCCTGCCATTTCTCCCTCTCCCTTCTCTCTCCTCCTGGCTTTTCAGACCCTTGTTGGGTTCTCATTTCTGAGTTAACCACACCAGTATCAGGAAATTGGTGTTTATTTCTCCTTCTCCCCATTCCCCCATGACCAGAACCTCAGAATAAACCAGGTCCTTGGGCATCAAGAACGAGGCTGCAGCCCCCTCCCATGTACCTCTCACACCCGTCTGTCCTGCCATTCTGAACACTGAGCTCAGCTGGGAGTCAGCAGCCCTGGGGACCCTTCCCAAACAGCATCTCCGCCACCTCCCTGGGCTGAGGGTGGGGGAGGCAGGCTTTGGTGACCTGGTGTTCCCAAGGACACCTGGAACTTCCCCTCTCCCAGCAGGGCCACTTGATTGTGGCACCCTGTGCTACTAGCTCCTGGGGCAGAGCAGTGTTGTCCCCTGCTGTGTTCCAGGCACCTGTCATCTGGACACAGACACACCAGGTATCAGTTCTCCACAGACATCTCTTGTTCCTGCACTCTGGATTCTCTGAGCAAAGAGAGATGCAGCTGGGTTAATAGTGTTCCTGTAAGGGGAATTTCAGACCAGGGAAGCTAAGAGAGCCTTTGTTGGCAACAGGTCCACCTTGGCCCCTGGAGCCCTACCTCCACTAGTTTGTTCTGCATGCCAGTGTGGCCAGCTCACAAGGCCATGGCGAACTTGCGGTTTTTCTGTTCCTGCTTGTCCGTCTGAGACATATGTGTCCCACGGGAATGCCTTGACCTTTTCTGGTCTGATGGACTTATTGTTAAGGGAGGTTTCAGTACCTGACAATAATAGATGTTGAAACTAAATATCTCCCCCCTCCCTCCTGCTTTTGGGTAGTTTTCCACTTCTGCTGCTTGGGGTATAAAAAAAGGTGTGTTAGCAATAAAGATTATTATTGACTCCTGGATGAAGAACCTTGGTGTCCTGTGTGTCTTTTAACCTCGCCGTCCCTCGCCGGACTCGGCTCCCTTGGCCGGACACGGCAAGCCTTCCCTCCCCAGAGATAACCCAGAGCAGTAACCCTCTCACTGCCACCTCCCAGGACAACTGCATACTTTCTGCCCCATCTAGTCCCTGTCTCTCCAGACAAGAGGGAGGGAGGTCAGCAGATCCCTGGGTAAGATGAGGATTCCATAATTTCATATCCCTCTCCTGTGAGGGTGCCCTGCATGCACAGGTGACCCCCTGTCACTGTCACTGTGGGAACCAGTTATCCAGGAACAAATGCCAGTCCACCACTCATATCTGGGGGTTTGGTTTGTCTGTTTTTGCTGTGAGTTATAAATGTTCCTTTTCTCTGACTTCCCCCGCCCCATCTCTCTCTCTCTCTCTCTCTCTCTCTCTCTCTCTCTCTCTCTCTCTCTCTCACACACACACACACACACACACACACACACACACACACACTGTGGCAAGTTCAGAGGCTGAACAATCAGAATCCTGGTGTCCTGAGTTCCTGGCCAGCACCTGACCTCTGCATGACCTCCCTCCTCTCTGTGACTGAGGAGTGAGCAGAGCTTCTCATTGCAAATCACTTGGAAGCCAGGTCAAAACTCAGGCTCTGCACTAGTAGGTCTGGGCAGGGCCTGAGGCTACTTCTCTCCAGCCTGGCCATGGTGGTGCTGCCTGGGCCTCCCCCACCCACACTAGCAGCAAAGCTTTAAGGCCTGCATCCCAGTCTCTGTAATGCACACTCTGTAGAAGGAAGAAACGCTTTGTGAATAACTTACCTGTTAGTTGTGGCTGAGAAATTATACTTCTGATCCACCACCATGTTTACAGGTGCTCTAGAGGGGAACTGGGAGACAGTGTGAGTGAGAGCTGCTCATAGAGCAGAGCTGTATTCCACCCCCCCCATGGGACTTTTTGTATTTTGGAAATGTGTGACATTCAACCTGTTGAATTTATGCTTAGGTCTCATCTTCATGTCACCTTGGGGAATGAGAAGGTTAGAGTATTATCCTGAGTGTTAAACAAGCAATTCAGCATCATTCTGAAAGTCTAGAAGTCAAATAATGGCAAATGCTTTCATCCTTAGCCTTCCTTTGTCTTCACGTCCTACAGGGGTGTGGACACAACCTCACTGGATGGTCAAGCAGATCTGCTGTGGAAAGCTGAGGATGTGCCCATTGTCATCCAGTGAACTGTCAGAAATAATATTTAAGTCTGAATGTGTGGATTGCAGAGGCTCTGGCCACTCCCCTGCCCACCATTTCTCTTCTAGCAGCTGGTGGTCCTTTTCTAAAGCACTGGGGGGGGGGTGGTTGTTAAGAACACCTGCAATTCTACCTGCTATTTTAAATTCAGAGGTCTTTTTGCTAGTAGAGTACACTACTAGGCACCGGCTTCCACCCAAGCTCAGTTAACATGCAGGAGTTTCTGTTATTATCCATCTCTGATCATCAGCTTGGGCTTATGGTTTTACAAGGTACCAGGACATTGCAGGATGCTGTGCAGGGGCATCACTTCTGTGGAACTGCCACCTCCCCAGCATTCACCACACCAGGAGTCCCAGAGCCAGCAAAAAGACCATCCCAGGGGAACGCCTGGCCCTGCCTGTGGGCACAGCGACAACCCCACCTCGATTTCAAGGCCAGAAAGTGGGGTTCCCCAAGGAAGCTTCCAAGAAAGGAAATCTGGAAGGGAAAGTACAAAAAGGAAGTTGGAGTCAATACAACCTGATGAGTCTCTGCTACTGAATTCATGATGACTTTTAGTGGGGGGCGAGGCCCTACCCTTAAATGGAAAGGGTGGCACCTCTGGGCCCCAACAAGAGCTGCTAAAGAATTGGAAGAGTGTGTTTCCTTTTGCAGGGGTCCATATATGGGGGTGAATAGAAAGGAACCAGACCAGCTGTGGCAAGGCAGAGCCAGGTGCTGGGTGGAGGGACCCCCATTGGGACAGGAGAAAGGCAGGTCCTACAAGCTCTGTGACAGCCTTCTTATCTTGGAAGAGGGTGGAAACCAGCCCTACAGAGCTTGGCTGTGCCCACTTCCTGGGTGACAGGCACTGAAAACCCAGGTCCCAGGGAGCAGAAGGGCCCTGCCTCCTTGGAGTCCCTGAGCTCACCCACATCCCTGAGGGATTGGAACCAGAAAAGGAAAGTGTTTGCCAGGGGCATGACCTTGAAGCAACCCAGACAGCCCTGCCCTTTCCTCTGTTGGTCTTTCTAACTTCTTTTTTTTAATCAGAGACCTTGGTTATGACCCTGAATTAAGCAAATTAGGTGCACCCAGTCCCTAAAAGTCAGCCTGCTCTTGTCCTCCTGAAATGTGCATTTCACACTTTTTGTCTGGGAGCATCCTGAGCTTACAGGAGGAGCCCTGGGCTCCCCAGGGTCCTGGGACACGCCTGGAGGTAGTTGGGGATGGGGTGCTCAAGTAAATCACTGGGCTGTGGCTCCTGTTTTCATGGCTGTAGCCAATTTATGCATGTGTCTGCTCCTCTTTGAGGGCTTTTATGATAAAAACAAGATGAGATAAAAATGAGAATCTGAAAGTTATGAAAAGAATTAAAAGCACAGCATGAATCAGTAACAGCCTCATTTTTTGTGTGTTTTCTGTTAATGAGGGTGAACCTCACTAGACGCTGAAGGAGATAAGAAAAGAGAAGTTAGCCTGCAAGAAATCCCCAGAGCCTGGCTAGTCCTCACTGAGATTGGCTGGTCCTTCTTGGCTTTGGAGGGAGGGTAGGTCCTGGGTAGGTGTTCAAATATTATTTCAGTCGTGCAGGATTAGAGGTGTTGTGCTTTAAATGTTTTTAATTTAAGGTTTTTACCAGAGATGATTGTGAAACAATTGTAGGGCAGCACAGGAAGCACTGAACCAGCCTCACGGTTCACTTTTGTGCTGTATGTTTTCTTTCTCTTCTGCACCCAAACAACGTGTCATTTGTGTTTTGACCTTTGCTTCCATAACCATCCAAATAGACACCTGGCAAATGCAGGGGATGACAAACACCCCCGGGATGCACAGCAAGATGAACCAGCCTGTTCTCAGAAGCCTGGGGAGCTCTGCCAACTTGGAGCTGTCTGTGGGAACTGCTGAGGGTGGAGATAATGGCCATAATGAAATATATAGCAAAGGCAGATGGAGGGTGTTTAATGAGAGGGGATCTGGATTTCACACTTTTATTCTCTTGCTTTCTGACCTTCTGCCTGGGCTAGAGCCTCTCCTTGGAGAGTGCTATGTATTAATTAGTGACTAGAGCCTGCTGTCTTTTTCTTTACTAAAAATGCTCAGGACCTCTTTTGTTTGATCTCCTGCCTGGTCCTCTTATTAATTGTTTCTCCACCTCTCTGCCATGCCTTCCCCAGGTGCTCACTCACAGTAAACAAAGTCCTGGTCTCTACTTACTGACCAGAGCAGCCAGCATTATTTGCAAAGTTCCATAGGCTGCATTTTTCTGATGAGGCATGGGATGAATGAATTGCAAGACCCCCATAAAACTCCTGATAAAAGACCTGAGGTGGGCAGTCCCACTACTGGCCAGTGACCTTTCATGAATCAAACCATATTTATAGGATAGAAAAAGAAATATGTAGAGAGAGAGTTGAATTAGTTTCTCTGATTATTATCATTCTCCTGTTTTTTTTTTAATCTGGTGGACTATTAATACCATATCTGTCCCCCTCTGTCAGCATAAGCCTGTCACAAATGCTGTTTTAGAGGAACTAAATATTTGGCTTTTTATCTTTAATAATTTACTCTTTGGGAGGAGAACATGACGGCAAGAGGGAAGAGAGAGAGCAAATAAACAAGGCGTGTCTGTCTGGATTTCCTTGGCTTTGACATTTCATTTCACCAGGGAACACGGCTCTGAAAGATGGCTGTCCCTTCTAATGCCTGGGAATTTGCGGCCGCAATGGCCAGAAGCATAAAGACGTGTAAAGAGGATTTCTCGGTACATGGAGCACTGAGTGCCTGGTTCAGTGGTTCCTGTGATTGATACCCATTTCTGTGTGCTCCTTCCTAACTGCACTCCCTAAAGCATGCTGGGGAATAGTAATTTCAGGAAAAAAATTTGCATGCGCTATCAGTCACTGGGTGGCGGGTTAGTGAGGGCATTGCTGATGGTGGCTGCTGTGTCATCCTCCCTAGGATGGTCTTAAAGGATTCGTGGGGAAGGAGCTGAGGATCAACCCCAGTGGTTTTCATTAGGGTGGCATTCCCATGGCATCTGGGTCCAGGTGAGGTATGGCAGAAATGGCCAGCCACCATGTAGCCGTCAACAGTTTAGAGTTAGTTTGGGGAGAAAGGCTGGATAATATTATTTTTTCATGCTGCCTACGGGTATCTAGATCTCAGAGAAGGTTTGCTTTGCTCCTTGCAAACCACAGTTTGAGCCTGTTTCCTCTGATTCTCCATTGAAAGCACTCAATTTCTGTTTCTTCCCCTCATGTCCTCTTTGCCTCTAAACTGTTAAGTGGTCAGTAGATGCCCGTGACAGCCCATGTGTCCTCACACTGGCCATGCAATTAGGCACAGGGAGCAGGTCGATAGGAGGTGGTCCCCAGGCGAGAGGACTGGCCATGAGGGAAAGCTGTTCTGGGCTGATGCCAGCATCCTCTGCAGGAGAAATCAGCAAGGTTGTGTATCTCAGCTAAATCTAGGCACGGGGAACCATCAAGGCGTCCTGTCAGGCCCAGTTTGGGATCATCAAATTAATTGTTACATGTTACAAGCCGACATGTGCAGAAGGTGATAAATAGCTGGTGCTGAAACTCCACCATGAGTTCCCGCCGTGAGGCGGAGGGTGAAGGAGGCTGCCAGCTTCCACCCACTGAGAGCAATCTGCCCAAACTTACTGGTTTTCCTGAGGCCTTCCTTAACCCACTGCCTTCCACCATTGCGTTTACTCATAGCATCCTTCTGCTTCTTTGGAGGGGTACTATTTACCTAGAAGTCACGCAGCA